AGAATTCACAAAAATGGTTTGGAACTATTGTGACGTTTTAAAAGTGCTTAACTTTGTGCTAGCCAGGCTAACTCATTAACACTTAACAACTGGAACAATCACTTTCATTGAGAAGAAAAGCAGAAGATCAAGCAGCAATGAAAGGAAAGGATTTGACCGAAGAATATCCATGAATATCCACAACGGTCCAGTTCCAAACTAGAATCACACATTGGGACTTTTCTGGGTGGATCGTATTCCACTTTAAGTGACGGCAGGTTTGCATCGCTGTTGTTGTTGGAGCGTGTTGTGTTGTATACAGCTGCTGCTGCCGCTCTGTCAGCAGGCCGACCAGTCTATTCGCTTCAGTAAACTTTTCAACTCACCGAGGGACATTTACACAGCAGCCATGCCTAAAATGGGCCATGTGGCCGACAGAACGCTGGCATCAAACATAGAAAGGTGCCTGATTCTAAACTGTCTCTAATGATAAATCAGCATTATACTCCACAGATACAGACTATTTAGGGGGTTCAAAATCCTTCTGATTTATGACATATTTTTAGGCAACTGCAATATTTATACGCATTAAAAATGCATTAAAGCAAATGCATGTTTTGTTTTTTTAAGACAAAAAAAAACTATTACACCTGAAGAGCTCTGGCTGAAACCTCACTGTGAACATAGATTTCATGTTCAGTGTCCCACAAAATGTGACCTCAACTTCACCCCATGACCGCAGACTGACCTGTAAACTAGCCTCCGCCATCACAGGGCGTCCAGCCCTCTCTCCCTGAAACTGTTGACACATCTTCTTCATCCCATTCGCCTCTCCCCTCCCCTTTTTTTTTTGTGCTCTCTCTCTGTCCATCCTCAGGCTGTGTGTGTGGTTAAAACGATGGGTACAGCTGCTGATTGAGCCAGCAGCCCCGATGATGCTGATTCCTCGCGTTATTGATTGAGCTGCTGGCTTTCTTCTGCTTTGCTCTAAAAAGCAGTACATCTGGACCGATTAGCTGCTGTAGGCCACCTCTTTCTCCCAGAGCAACAAAATCCGCCTTGATGCTTCTCGCGTTTGTCCGCTCGAGTGTTATTTGGACGCGTTACATTCGCGTACCGCAAGCTGAAAGTAAAAGCGGAGCGCTGGGAGCAATTAACTTCAGCGTTTCCCTCCTCATCGCTACTGATTCTATTCAATCAATCTGGTGAAACACAAAGGAGGTGGGGGGGGAACAAAAATACAAAAAACTAACAATGAAACAAACCTCAGACCACACAGATCTTAATTGGCTGCCTAATTACTTCAGCAGACATTCACTTTTACAGTTAACAGAAGAGGGTAATGCTGGCAAGATCAAATACAAGGAAAACAGGAACAAAAGCGCCTGCCCGTCACGCCAGCTTAGATGCTTAACAGCTACTCAAAAACAATTATTTGAGGAAAAAATACGACATAATCTCCATTTTCTTTTAGAATCAAAAAGACGCAACTTTGCAGATGACATGTTCAAGGTACTCGTTTGACGACATGATGTTCCTCTGCCTTATGACACCCCAGGCCAAGCGTAAATATCATTTATGCTCCAATCTTAAGCATGGTAGATCAACAGGGAGTCATAAATGTCTGTTTAGAAATCTTCAGGGATATGCGTTATACATGTAGATTGAGGCATTGAAAGAAAAAAGTGTTTGAACAGCCCCGCAAACTCCGGCTCCGAGTGAGATGAGCTCCATTATTTACAGTTTTCCGTCCCGAATCGTAATCAGAGCCTTGCGCTCCGCAGGCAGCTGCCTACTGGGGTGCAATCTCCCCCCTAAGCATAAACACGCCCATAAATTCAAACACTCGGTATTCAGGGATTCGAATTCCCTCACATATAAATACGGAAAATATCCCGGTAAATACACAGATGTGTGCTTGTGTGTGTGAATATGTGGCTCTTGTAAACAGGGTCACCCTGATGAGGAAATAAGGACGTAGCAGGAGGCAGTAATTAAACAATACATTTTAATAAAAAGACCTTGAGGGTAAACTCGTTGAACCAGTTAAGGTTGTGTGTTACTTAGAGAGCTCAACAGAATGTGTACCAAAGACCTTTCGTAGATTATTAAGAGTCGGGTCTGGAAAATCTTGATTAAAATGGAAATCAAACAGCAGTTTCTATAACTATTGGCAAAACCAGATAAACTGTTGTAATATCTTAACATCCCTTCATATCCTGTTCAGTGTGAGTGGTCACAAATTGGTTCAGCTTTGTTCAAAGATCTACCTGTTTTTAACCTTTAAAAACCTACAGCCATTTACTGACTTTTGAAGAAAAGCATGCACCTGACCAAATCAAATTGTATGATCTCACATCTTTCCCATTTTGAAGATTTGGAACGATAAATGGGGCTCTGTGTTTCAAAAAGTGAGAATGCTACTGTCAAGTTTTTTTTTATTATCATTATTTTACAGCACAACTTCAAAACAACTGCGCTTTGCCAACGTTTTTTTTAATGTCAAGCTAAAAAAATAATTTAAAAAAGTCAATTTCCTTGCCACCGACTGGCGCTGATATTGACTGTAATCTAAGAGAGATACTTAGATGTTTGTTTTCAATAATGAAAAAAACAAATATTCCCATTTTGACAAAAAGGAGTAGCTTTTAGGTTTTAATACAACTTAAAAGTTATCTTAAATCTGTACAGAAACACCGTCTTCTACAGGTTCTGATGGGATAAAAGGCAATAAATATGAAATTCTGCTAATTAAAGAATGAGAAGTCATCAGACAACTTAAAGGAAAAAGCTAACTTGCCAAAATGAACTTTACAAAAATATATAGGAGTGAATACTAGTGTTTCAACACATCATTTCTTAACCCACTAAATAGACATGCACAGATTAAAAATTTTATTTGTTGTATTCTTTTCAGTGTAAGGTTACACTAATGCAAGAAAATAAATCAATTTCCAACTTTTTATTTATCTTTGTTTTCACACACAAAGATACCAAAAACATAAAATTGTATATGCCTTTCCAAAACATATATGTGAACTAAGGTAAGTGCTTTGCTTTTAGTTATGTTAGTTGAGCAAAAGTAAATTAGAAACCAAAAGTGAATTTGCAGATAAACTCAGCGGATATGAAAACCGCAAAAGGGCCACTCAATTTTAGAGCTTTTTTCTTTTCTTTTTTCAAAATAAAACATTTCCTTAAGGTTAATACTTTTCTCCCAAGTAGATAAACAAACTGCATCAGTTGCACTCATTTGTGCCTTCAAGCACTTAAGAGTAAAGCACTTGCAGATATATTCATCAGTACACTGACCCTGAATTGCTGCGGTCTTTCCTATTTCAGTTGCATACACAAGAGGAAACACTGATCTCAGCATTAGATATAGGCGCTCATAATGTTTGCTTGGGTATAACTGCCCATAAGAGTATTGATTACTGCTGTTTATGCATCTAAACCCCTCGTGAATAATTTAAATAACATTTTACGGACACGTACATCAATCACACCTGCAGACCCACACCAACACAATCACCATACCCAGGAAGGATCATTACTAATTTCCTACTTAAAGATATGATAGGCCTAATGGATGTTTAACTCGCGAACGTTTTAGGAAAATGTACACCATACAGTACTTCATATTCAAATTAGATTTTTGGAGGGGAAAAGGTGGTGAAGTCTCCCACAAAACAGAATGATATTAAAGAATTTCTGAAGGTTCTCTGGAGGAGGTCCAGGTAGTTTCACACTCCACAAATCTGGCTTATATGGAAGACGAACACCAGATATCCTACTAAACAAGCAATCCCCACTGTGGGCATGACAGCGTCATGATGGAGGAAGCTGGTCAGAGTTGACTGAACAATGGATGGAACAAAAAATGTGGGGTAATTGTGAAAGAAAACATGTTAGAGACTACAAAAGACTTCTGATTGGATTGGAGATGTGGATCTGAAACTGTAGTAAAAGTTACTTCCATGAAATGTGCTGAATGCAAATGCATATGATGTTTTCCAGTTTATCTTCTCTATACTCTTCACGACTACATTATGTGCCACTTTGTGTTGGTCGATCGCAAAAATATGAAAAAGTGTATAGACATTTTTTGTAGCCATGTGACCAAATGCAGAAAAATTCCAGATAAATAACTCAGCTCTGAAGACCACTCAATTGAAATTTATGTTCTGAAGAACTGATTTCAACTTGGACAACCACCGAGAAATGTTTGGAATCCGGGGTCGGACATTTCTGTGGCACACTCGGGGTCATTTGCGTACAGCGAGGTGGGGCGTGGGTCATTTGTGTAAGGTGCTGGAAGCTGCGGCTTAGTATGCAGGGAAGCAGGGGAGGGAGGGCATGTGACATCCACAGAGAGGCGGGACCCTCTTTGACCCCTGTCTATAATTCATCCCCTGGAATATGGGGCGCATCAAACCCTGGTTTCTTCCCGCCCAAAAAGAGAGAGAGAGAGAAAAAAAAAGACCTTCTCACTTTGTTGCGTGGAACTCTGACCCTGGATTAAAGCAACCAGCAAGAGGAAACCTGGTGATTAAATTTTCAGGCCCGTCCCAGGAGAGCAGAACCAGAAGGTCCTTGATTCACAGACATGAAGAGACTGAGGAAAGGGACCATGTCGGCAGGATAACCAATACCGAACGAGGAAGGCAAGGTGTATGTGTGTCTGAGTGATAATCAATTTTTTTAATATGGAAAAGTAATAATAATAATACACACAAGAACAAAAACATGCCAATGTTATCAACCAACAGTTAGGATAAAAGTTGATACTTTAAAGACCAATCCAATGCCTATAAGAAAGCAGAAATCAGTGTCTTTGTGGAGGCAATACCCATGATCCATGTCCATGTTCTGTCACTGCCTCCCTGACCGTTGGAGACTGCACAGGCTTCATTGAGGATGTTGATATCAATGCGCACACATGTGTGTGCGTGTGTGTGTGTGTGTGTGTGTGTGTGTGTGTGTGTGTGTGTGTGTGTGTGTGTGTGCTGAATACAACTTACCAGATGCTCTAATTTGTCTTTGATACTCCCAGAATCCCTGAAACACACAAACACAAATTCCCCTTACTTTAAAAAACGATTCAGACACAAAACTCATTCCATAAAAGCTGAATTTTCCTTACACCTAAAACAATCTACAGCACACTCTTTTAAGCGGACTTCTCTAGTTTTAACATACCAGATTATATGTGATCCGGTATGTTGAAACAAGCCAGCCCACATGTAACAGTTCGGGATCTGGTTTGTACTAACATAACTGGTTTGGGTTGCAAATTATACAATTTCTGTCTGTTTATCACAAAATGGCGTGAAAAAATATACAAAAATTGTAAAAGTTTTGTTAGAGTCCAATAACTGATTATGGAATAAGAAAATATAATATTCAGGTATCCGTATGCAGTGATTGACTGGTAAGTATGTTGTGAGTCCCTATTCTAAGTGCATCTTCAGTGCTTTTATGAGTCGCGAAGCACCTCTAAGCTATTTTCATGAGCTTTTAAAAATGTATGAATTTTAAGGTGAAAGGGCATATTTTGTGTTCTTATTGTGAATGTTTAAAGGAAGTTGTGTCTACCTGCCCAATTCATACTTTAGGGAAAATACAAATACTTCCCTCACTACTTGAGGTAAGAAGCCTGTCGACTACAGTGCAACAAGTCCAATAAATCTGGTAACAAGTTGAACAGACAACCAACACCATCCTGAAGACTGCTGCATACATCCGGTTAAATGCTAACTGGCTTAGCGCTAGCTGGAGGCAGAGTGAGTGAAGGCAACAGGTGGAAGCTGAAGATGAAAGCCGTGTTTGTGCCGTCTGTATGTTAGACAGACAAACAAAATAAAAAACAACTGATATTTACATGAGAGAAGACATGGAAAATATTAGGCACACAAGTGCAACCGAGAAAAGACACATGGATTTGTGGTCTCACTCTGGGAGACATGTTTTAGTCGAGGGGAAAAAACTGCATAACTCACCCACTGAGAATCACAAAGATTATCCAAAATCATCTCAGTATTGACTGATGTTCAGTCAGCAAGCCTCACACTGAAGAAAATCACAATAATCAGAGTAAATGATCTGTATGACATCACAGAGGGTTTGGCTAATCAAAAGAAAAATAACCACACAGATTTATCCTAATTGCTAACCTCTAAGGCTAAAATGCAGAGCGCATTTCAATGCTTTTTGCATCTAAACCAGACTGAGGCTAACTAATACTGTCGCCACACTGCTGGCAGGCGTGATGATCATTTCCAACTACAAAGAAAGAACTGGGAGCTTATTATCTGTGAAGTAATAACAATAATAATCATATAATAATAATAGAAATGTGTGTGTGATTATCAGCAGACTGAGCTGAGGAAGGTAGGGGGGAGAGGCTCTGTTAATAAAATTTAAAAAAAAGAGCAAATTGGCAGTAAATAATAGATGCAATTTTGGCACATCTCAAATTTGCGGCAGTGCAAATCAAAAGATCAAGAGAACACAAACAGCACCCACCTCCCCCCCACCAGCTCGACATCTCCGATCACCAAGCACCCACTCCGCCCCTCCTCGTCCAACTCGGGCCTCCATTACTGACAACTCCACCCAGGCTGCAGCGCTTTACAGTGTCGTGTGCGTGTGTGTGTGTGTGCCTGCACTGAGAGGGAGGAAGGCTTATCGACAGGCATCAGTTGCTAATGCAGCTGGCAGCATCACTGTGTAAATCTACACCATCTCTAAAATTACACACTGTCTAATCTATCCGACTCCCTCTGCCTCTCCGTTCCGTCCGTCCATCCGGCCGTCCTGCAGGACGTGTCCCACACACACGCACACGACGACCACAGACATATATGCCCTCAGCTTCTCTAAAACAATGTCATGAAGGAGAGGACAGAATGAGAGGCAGATGGATGGGGAAAAAATGCGCAAGAGAAGAGAAAGGGGGTTTGTTTGTTTGCTCTGCGCTCCGTCAGAAAAACCGCAAGAAGACAAGTCGACCACTTAAGGCAAACTTCATCTAGCTGTAATTACATTACATTCTGACAAACACCCCGCCACATTCATTATACATGACGGGCGCCCGGCAACCAGACAGCAAGACATTTGTTACTGTGGTGACAGTGTGTGTAATCCGCTAATGAAGCGCAATTAGCGAGAAACAATCCAACACTGGGGAGACGCAGCGCTCCATCCTTCCTCCTCCTCTCCCCCCTCCACTTCTCTCCTTTCATCTCCCTTCTCACTCTCATTTTTACAATGACATCTTTTTCTCCTCTTGCATTTTTCCCCCATTCGACCTTTATTTAGCTCTTCACATTCAATTAATGTCCAGCTCTTTCATCTACCTTTTTTTTTATTTTTTATCAAGGACAAGCTGTCCAGCGGTGTCCTCAGCAGGGCCGAGGGGATCGCTCCGTCCACACACACTCTCTCTCACACACACACACACTTATCCCGTATTACATCCTCATTTCTCTTTTCAAAGCATCATATAATCTGCCGAGGCCTTCTGGGAGGCAGTTTTCCCTTTTCTCCCTCCCTCCCTGCACACGATGTCTTCAACACAGAGGCAGCATCGATTTCTGAATTACGCCACAATATTAAATAATTAATATACTTGCAGTGATTGATGTTTTGCATTAGGCCAATATTAGGTTATCAATCAAAATCCACTTGGTTTAATGTAATAATATTGAAAATGTGTCAGTGCCTGTTCGTCCAATTTGTAGTGGAGGCAGGCCAGATAGTAATGGTGGTGTAGCACAAGGCCTCAGAGACATCCATGGCCTGCTCACTACAACCGCAGGAACACATTACAGTCGCGGCACACCAGGGGAGAGAGGGAGAGAGAGAGGGAGGGAGAGAGAGAGACCGGAGCCATGGGGAGGAAAACAGAGCGCAGACATGGAAGGACAAATGTGAAGAATGTGACAGAGGGGGAGGGAGATACTATCATATAACAGTACAAATGCCACATTAAAACATCATTTTCATATAGTTACATGTGCTTATGTTACATTATATCATAGCTTAAAAAAAAAAATTGATGTAAACTACAATCCCTGTAACTCTTTACAAACTTGAAATGAATGAATGTTTTTTTTTAACTTTGTTTACTGTGATTTAACAAGTTTTATAAATCACACGTTATATTTGAGCAATATTTATGCCTGTCTTGAGCCAAAGTAGTCTTATAGTTGACAAAAAATGTACAGGAAATGCATGCTCTGAAGTTTGCTTTTTTAAGCTCAAATTGCAATCCACAGAACAAAGTTTTCCAAGGTAAATTTGAGCAGTTCATATACTTTAGATTTTAAATGGGAAACATTCAAATAAATTTCTGATTCCTTAAAAATTAGGAAATATCGCTTTACTTCAGGACCAAACAGGGGCTGTCAGGCCGTAACAACTTGCTTTTAAATATTGGTGCTCCTTGAAGTAGCATTAGCTTGCAGCGGCAGATCAAGTGCTGTTTTGTTCATATTAGATCTTCCCAAGATGGACTTCACTCTGACAGGAATTATATTATGTCCGAGCAAGACGGAAAACCTTGCACCAATTAAACTCGTCTCTGCTCTTTGGTCTCTTTCCTTCTAGTATCTAGTTATAATTTGGATTTATGTAACATTTTTTATTCTTTTTAAAGTACATTTAACACATCTATGTGTCTTCTTTTTGATACACCATAAAAGGTTTTTCCAACAATAAAGCTTCAGTGCTACAGCTGTGTGAATGCTTGAATAACACCAATTCCTTCAGCTCTCACCCCTACAAGCACTTACTACATCTTATTGTCATTTCAACACCAGTGCTAGAGATAGGCCAGAGATCCACCTTGATCAGAATCAGGGATCTGGAGCTGATCAAAAGCAGCTGATCGAATGATTTTGACAAGCAAGTTTCAAATGTCTGTGCTACTTCTGCTACTAAGCTGCCAAACTCAACATAAAACCTTTAAGTTTCGATTTTAAGAAAAAGTTGTCGTTAAACATGAATGACTTTACTTCTTGGTGTTCATTTTGATGTCTCTCGTCACATGCAAATGTTGCTAAAATAATGTTAAACATCTAATTTTTACTTTTTAATCATGTCGGCCCACGTCCAACTCTTCTTTGAAAGCTTTCCAGAGGCATTTACAACCATTCTTCTGCAGTTTTGATAGTCAGACACTAATGTGGAATGGCTCGCTAACTCCTCCTCAAATCCTTTCCAAACCATTCTGTTGGGCTGAGATTGGGAAACTTTTTTTTAAATGAATATTTAATAAAGTGCCGACCAGGGCTGGACAAGGGCAGAGGACGGTAAAACTCTCTTTGTAGCAGCTAACGAATAGACTAAAAGCCACAACTTGATGTACCCTGTTATCATCTTTGCATAAGTATTTGACATTAGAGGACAGACTGTGTGGGACTCTGACCAAGCTAATGATGAAAAGTCTTCTAACCCAAGTTTTGGGCATGATCAGCTATTACAGAACTGCCTGGTAGAAACGTTAAAGATGGAAATTTTGAATGATCAAATGTCAGACATGAGCTTTATGTTCCCAACTTGCTCTTCTTTTCCCTTGGAAAGATTTTCAAGCCACCACGACGTGGAGGCTGACAGAAAATGGCGAGTGAGCGAGAGAGGACAGAGACAGAGAGTAATGTACTGCTGTTCCAGGAAACGGTAATTAGTTATCCGTGGTCAATTAAGTTAAACTGGACAAACAAGTGTGAGTGTTAAAGTGAGCCTTGGCAAGGTCAATACTGACCAATTTAACATGGTGGCTGGATCCATCACACTGTCTGCACTCTGCTGCTTCCCTGTCTCAGCTCCTTGCCTACGCTCGCATACTTTTTCTTCTTGCCGACTCTTCTCCGCATTCTTCCTGCCTTCATCAGTCACAGTGCATGTTCTATTTCCAAGTGTCCAAAGCCCCCTTTTTTCTGTCTCTTGCTCTGTAATGACAGTTTTGAAGTTGTTGCCTCACCTTACCTCATCCCCGTCCCCCTATCTCTCCTCTCCAGTCATTTTGTCCTCTTCCAATCACCAGCCTGCCGCTC